CTGAAGTCCTCTCACATTAGTCCAGGTCTCAGGTCTCTGTCCTGAAGTCCTCTCGAACATTAGTCCTGGTCTCAGGGGTCTCTGTCCTGAAGTCCTCTCACATTAGTCCTGGTCTCAGGTCTCTGTCTGTCCTGAAGTCCTCTCACATAGTCCTGGTCTTAGGTCTCTGTCCTGAAGTCCTCTCACATTAGTCCAGTCTCAGGGTCTCATGTCCTGAAGTCCTCTCACATTAGTCCTGGGTCTCAGGTCTCTGTCCTGGAGTCGGGTCCCTCTCACATTAGTCCTGGTCTCAGGTCTCTGTCCTGAAGTCCTCTCACATTAGTCCTGGTCTCAGGTCTCTGTCCTGAAGTCCTCTCACATTAATCCTGGTCTCAGGTCACTGTCCTGAAGTCCTCTCACATTAGTCCTGGTCCTCAGGTCTCTGTCCTGAAGTCCTCTCACATTAGTCCTGGTCTCAGGTCTCTGTCCTGAAAGTCCTCCCTCACATTAGTCCTGGTCTCAGGTCTCTGTCCTGAAGTCCTCTCACATTAGTCCTGGTCTCAGGTCTCTGTCCTGAAGTCCCTCTCACATTAGTCCTGGTCCTCAGGTCTCTGTCCTGAAGTCCTCTCACATTAGTCCTGGTCTCAAGAGTCCTCTGTCCTGAAGGGTCCTCTCACATTAGTCCTGGTCCTCAGGTCTCTGTCCCTGAAGTCCTCTCACATTAGTCCTAGGTCTCAGGTCTCTGTCCTGAAGCTCCTCTCACATTAGTCCTGGTCTCAGGTCTCTGTCCTGAAGTCCTCTCACATTAGTCCTGGTCTCAGGTCTCTGTCCTGAAGGTCCTCTCACATTAGTCCTGGTCTCAGGTCTCTGTCCTGAAAGTCCTCTCACATTAGTCCTGGTCTCAGGTCTCTGTCTTCAGCAACTGCTTCTTGCTGTTCAAGATGAAATATGACATTATTTTTAAGACCAGGAACTTACAGAATTGCGAAACCGCTAAAACTCCCAGGGCAGTCTTTTTGACTGCTCCCATTCATACCAATGAGAAAATCCCCCAGAAGAGTTTTTATCATGATGGATTGGCCTATTTTCAGTGTTTCTCAACCAGTGGGTTGTGGCCCGTGAGGAAGACAAAGATGTTACACTCTACAAACTGAAAAATAATGGAAAAAACTTGTTGAAACCAAATGTCACGTTTAAAAAGAAAAAAAACCTCTATTTCAAGGGAGTCCTGGTAAAGTGACACTAAAGACAGAATCACGTACAAACGACAAGTGCAAACATGAAGTAAAACAAATACAGGAGATTGAGGCGTCTCAAAAACTGCAAAAATAAATAATAATCAACACAAATCTAAAAACAAAACATAACTGAATGTAAAATCCAGGAAGTGAGGACGAAGACAAGACACTGGGATCAAAGAGTGACGGGCCACAAGAGGAACAGAGAACAGAGGATTTAAAGGTTTTTGGAGGATTTTCCCACATTTTAGGAAAGAACTAAACTTTCTGCTCTTATTGGACGAGTATCAACAGAATGATTGACAACTGAGAGGACCAATAGGCTCCACCCAGAAGTAGAAAATCCCCCTGTAGACCTTTAACTGGGAGACACAGAACAGGAAGTAAACATCAAAGAGACACACTGCAAAAAATGATCAAATATGAGGTAATTACGACTTGAATCAGTGTTTTAAAAAAAAAATCAAAATGTGAATATTGTGTTAAAAGTAGATTCTCCAAAGGGACAAAACCATTTAGTGTTTATTATCATTTTGCTCTGTCCCGTCCTGAATCTAGTTTTAAGGCTCAGTCAAAATGTGCTCAAATCAACACAATATTTGCCAAATTTGAAACATTTTTGACGTATTTTTAACCTCTTTTTGCAGTGCACAGAATAAAAAAGGAACTAAAACTAAAACCTTGACCTTCGATGGAGAACACGGCCGTCACAGCGGACAGGAAACACATCTTGAGGACGTTCAGGGCCCCAATCAGCAGGTTGGGTGGCGCCCCTGCTGGTGGGAGGCAGGAATGACATGGGACTGATTACACTGAAAAAAGTCTTGGTCAGATTTATTCACTAAAAATGACAAAAATGATGCTTATTTTTAAGCCCAGAGGCCTTTTTTCCCGAAAAAGCTATAATCTACATCTACTAAGGTTTCATATAGTATTTAGCCAGATATGTGGCCAAACTTGGTACCAAATTACCTGGTGGACCTTGGGGATTGCTGTGGAAGTGAAATAAAGATGATAAATTGTATTGGTTGACAATAAAATGAGGTTGAAACAGACAATTCTAACTTCCGCCTAAAAAAAAAAACACATATTTTCCCTCAAAAAAGCTTTTTCCCTGTCTGTGGTGTAGCAAATAAGAACAAAAATTGACAGTTCCCGATATTTTGGACCAGTCCAGCAAAAAATGTGCCAAATAAACAAACCACTGCAGAGTTGTACATGGAATTGGAAAAAAAGTCCAGGCGGAATCCAACTGTGCCAAAATTGTGCCAAATGTCACAAAACATGTCTGTAGAGTCATCGAGATAAACTTTGGCACGTGGTTCCCTAGCAAGAAGCTCTACAACCTCCTCGCGTGTATAACGCTGTTTTGCCATCTTTTACTTTCGTCAAAATTCCGAGTACTGCCGTGCGTAAAGGGTTAGCGCACAGCCTCCTTCTGCCCCAACTATACGCATGTACACGCCTCCGCGGTACTTTGGCCAATCAGGGCATGTCATACCATTTTGGAAAGAAGACTCCTTCGGCTATCAAAAACCATTGAAAACGTATTGATGGACAGCACCTGTGGCCAATCACAGGAAGAGATACACAGAGGTACGTGACATGACGCACGGGTGCAGCCTATCACAAAGGGCCTCTTACAGAAGGAGGAAGTAACAGATATCTGCCAGATCGCTAGAAAGCCTCGCTATGAGGTTGAATACAAGAAAAAACTGACTTTTATTCCTATGGAAATGACTTGTGATGAAAAAACAGCAAAAGTAAGTCGATTTTACTTCAACGCTGATGTTTTACTGCTTTGTTTTCTGGCATTCGTCTGCGGCTTGGTCAGCGAGTATTAGAGCTAGCGTTACCAGGCTTATAGCGTTGTGTTCAGCTCGGGGAGGGCTTTCTAATGGTGTGCTGACAGCAGGGCTACTTATTGTTTTGAGGGCGCTTGTGACGCCAAAGCAAACATTTGATTCGACATGTGCTTTATGACGATTTGTCAGATTGTGGTTTGTTGTTTGAACCTGGGTCTGTTGAACTGAAATTGAAGTGGATAATGTTGTAGCTGAGAGTTGTCCGAACACGAGGATGTGAAACATGTGATTGTCAGTTGTTGTATCTGTCAGCTACGGTCCGGACAAGCTGCAGCAAGGGGGGGCGGACCCCAAATGGGGGGCAATCGGGTTGAAGAGGTGTGTTTGTTGCTTGACTGTAGTTTGTCAAAAGATTATTTTACTAGTTTTTAAATAATAATTCTTCATAATCGTAGAGAAAAAAGTTTGAGCAGTGAGTTTTAAGCTTGTTTTATAATAACTATTTTTCTTATTTCCAGACTTTTCCTGTTTAGATAAAATAACTACATTGGAAAAACTAAGAGAAACATAAATGAAAATATGTAAAATTCTGCTTAAAATAATAAAAATAATCTGGAAATAGAACAAAGAAATATGACTAAAGATTTCTGAAAATAATAAAATAAAACTAGCCCCAAAACACTTGATTCTAAGTATTATTTACTTATTCCTTAAAAAAAGAGATATTTTCTTAAAATACAGCATCACAAACTTATTTTATTATATAAATAAAGATTACTTACTTATTTTATCTAAACAAGAAAAGTCTGAATATGAGAAGAATTACTAATGGATTTTTAGCAGTGCACCTCTGACTTTTTTATTCTTTAAACTAGTAAAATAATCTTATGACAAACTACGTTCAAGCAACAAACACTTAAGCATCATTTATGGTATTTTTTATTTTCTTAAGTCATATTTTCTTCTTCTGTTTTCAGATCATTTTTATTATTTTAAGCAGTTTCTTCTTGTTTTCATATATTGTGTTGACTCTTCAGTGTGGTTAATTTATCAAAACAAAAATCGTAGAAATAAGAAAATACTTAACTTAAAAACTCACTGCTCAGACTGTTTCCTCTCAGATTATTAAATATTATTATTATTTTAAGCAGTATTTTATTTTCCCAGTGTAGCGTTAGCATCATGTTAGCATGCAGCGGCCGCAGGGTCGAGCGGTTTAAATATCAACCTCGAAAATCGTTAATTTGTCGAAGTATTCAGGAGCTACGTGCTCAACGCGAAGGACCTCATTTAAATATATATAAATACTTATTCATGTATATTTAATACTTTTACTTAGTTGTACCTCATTTAAATATATATAAATACTTATTCATGTATATTTAATACTTTTACTTAGTTGTACCTCATTTAAATATATACAAATAATTCAATGACAACGTTTTAAAAACTGGTGAAATCTATAAAAGTCAAATATTGATCAAATTTGGCAAAATGTATTTATGAATAATTAAGATTCTACAATGAGACAAAAATATTTTTTTTTAGAAATGTCTCTCTCTCTCTCTCAGGTCTCTCTCTCTGATCTCTCTCTCTCTCTCTCAGGTCTCTCTCTCTGATCTCTCTCTCTCTCTCTCTGCTCTCTCTCTCTCTCTAGTCTCTCTCTCTGGTCTCTCTCTCTGGTCTCTCTCTCTAGTCTCTCTCTCTGGTCTCTCTCTCTGGTCTCTCTCTGGTCTCTCTCTCTGGTCTCTCTCTCTGGTCTCTCTCTCTCTCTGGTCTCTCTCTGGTCTCTCTCTGGTCTCTCTCTGGTCTCTCTCTCTGGTCTCTCTCTGGTCTCTCTCTCTGTTCTCTCTCTCTGGTCTCTCTCTCTGGTCTCTCTCTCTCTCTCTCTGGTCTCTCTCTCTCTCTGGTCTCTCTCTCTCTGGTCTCTCTCTCTCTCTCTCTGGTCTCTCTCTCTCTCTCTCTGGTCTCTCTCTCT